CCCCAAAACCCCAAAACCCCAAAACCCCAAAACCCCGAATATTTTAACGGCAACTGAAATAAATTACAGTTAAATTATTGCAAAATATGTCGTTTTATAGCCCATCACAGTCATTCTCTTCTCAGAGGAGCTGAATGCAATCTTCAAAGATGAATAGTTCCAGAGCAAGTTCACTGTTTGGCTCAAGGAGCACAGAGCCGATTGATTATGAGTTTGCTCTTAAGGTCCCAACAATGTCACTGTCTCCAACTTGTGCAGGAGGAGAGATGTTAAAGCTGAGGTTTAACACCCAGAGCAATATTCATGATGTCGTTCTTGAAGCTGATGAAGTCAATCCGACTCCTGGAGTCGGGACAGAGGTGGTTTTCTATTCAAAAGTAAAAATTCATACTATAATGAGCTTTGATTGCAAGACTCCTCAAGAGAAAATGGTTAAGATTACTCTACAAGACTGCTCTCATGGGAATCCTGTAGATATATGCCATACTCGGCTCGATCTAGCCGAGAGTATCAAGGAATGAATGCAAGATAAGATCACAACAGTAGTTGAAAACCTTGATTTTGCCAAGAATATGGGTCGAATGTGTCTACATATCACTCCGAAAAAGTTAGTACTGAGAGATAAAGTCAATATGGCTCTTGCTAAACCTCCAGTGCACACTCCAATTAGTCGGATGCCTACCTCTCCTCATAAAACCCCTCATAGAGTCTTCCAAGAGAACAATGACAGAGAGAACACTCATCGCGAGAGCACTCATAGTGAGGTAGACATGTTCTCAAGGAGTAATCTCAGAAGAAAAACTAGTACTGGAGCAAAGGAAAATTGGAACGATGTCAGCTTCTGACCTCCTGAAGAAGAACCCCTGGAAGAGGATCTGAGTGAGGGTCAATGCCATTATAAAACAGATAGGAAGAAGAGATCTAGTAGTCAAATAACATTTAAGAAACCCCAAGGGATGGGCAAGATCAAGCCGAACGGTAGACCAAGTCAGATTATCATGAGAAATGAATTCGACTTAACTAATAAGAACGACCCCCTTGGTAGGAAGGGTGGAAGCTCAATCAGAAGCGTAATTGAAGATTCGGTGAGCAAGATCAGCGGCTCAGACTCTGTTTCAAATGCTTTTAACAACAGCATTTTTACTTCTGGTACAAAGAAAGCTAAAAAGTTAAAGGTGAGAAATATGAAAGATCGTTATACTCGGGAAAAGAATCTAACTAAAACCTCAAAAGCACCAATGGATTATCAGCTTCATGAACCTTCCAGGAATCTCTACAAAGATCTTAGTGAAGCAGATAGGATAAATAAACTGAGTTGCACTGCTTCTGAGTCTGGACTTTCGGTTTCTGAGAACTCCATGGTCAGCAGCGTCTCTTCCATTCCAAATTTCTGTGAAAAAGACATTGTGAAGAACGAAGATGACAAAATAGAATTTGTGAACAAGTACCAACAAGCTAAGAGTAAGGAAAAGAAATACAGGAAGGAGCTCAAGGTGCTTAAACTTGAAAGAAAGCAGCTCCAGCTCAAGACAGAGGATGTTGATCAGCATCTTAAAGAAGAATCTCATAAAATTATTGATAAAGCCATGGCAAAGATTAATGACAAAATTGAGAAATCAGGCGGCAGACCCAAGATGAATAAGTTATTAGCCAAGAACCTCATTGGCCCTCTGCTATCACTCTGTATGGCTGATCAGGAGAGATCTGATATGATAATCGAGCTGATTAGGAACGGTCAAAATGATGGAGCAGCCTCTGCTCATTCTGTCACTCCTACAAAATCAGTTAGAAGTACTAAAGATAATGGGAAATCCAAGAGCGAAATTGAGAAATTACAGAAAAAGATCAAGAAACTTGAGACTGAGAACAAAGCTCTCAGATTCGACGTCAATGAAAACTCTCGGCTCTTCGAAGAACAAAGCTGCAGTCTTGCAGACGAACGTAAAAGAATGAAGAAAGTTCAGAAACAACTAGATTCCATTCATGAAGAAGACAAGAAGGAGAAGGAAGGAATCAACTCTAAAATAAGCAACTATAAGACAAGGATAGTCTTCTTAGAGTCTCAAGTCGAAGAACTTGACAAGAAGAACAAGGAGTTTGAAAGTAAAAAGAAGAAGGACAAGAAGTAAGACACCTCCTACCCAACATAGCTAATCTTTCTTATAGAGAACAAAAGACTAAAATATCCAAGATTAAGGAAGAAAAAGGAGCTGTAGAGAAGAAGCTCAATAACTTGAGAGAGAAATTTGAGGATCTTATTGAGAATGAGAAGGCCCTCAAAGATGAAATTGAACTAAAAAATCAGTCGATATCTAACCTTGATACTCAAGTAAAAGACCTAGAAGCTAAACTGGTCGAATTGAAGACCGATTTGGCAGATAAAATGTATGAACTTGAGATCAAATAGAAGGGTTTAATTAAACAATCTCTAATTAATTCATCTTGATATTCTTGTGTAGGGGTTTTGGGGTTTTGGGGTTTTGGGG